TACGCGCTTGAAACTATCACGGTGCGCTAAAAGCTGTGGCTTGAAAGGTTGCCAACTGAGAGGGATAATTCGAGCCGCGCAGTCAGCCCAGTGTTTTATTGTGTTGTGTGGAGTGGCGGACTGAGAGTCAGGCTGCAATAGATCCTTCTTAATGTGGCCTTTATGGCACTGCGACTCAGCTGGGATCCGAGTCAAGTGTGCTAGTGCGCTTAGGGACGCAAGCCACCTGCACTCTCTCTCTCGCCTCCGGTCTTCTTGGCTTACTCATGACATCGGACCCACTTGGAGAAAGGGAAGAGGGAGTGTGACAGATGCAGCGCAAGTCCACTCTAGCTGTAATTTTGTTCACGTGCAAGTCCCCGCGTCTGCTCCCTGCCTGCTGTGAAGCACGCGGTAGACAGTCAAAACCGACGGTCTAATGGCCATATCTGACCCTGAGATATCCTGTGAATTAGCAACCTCCCAAATCACGGCTGTTTATGCAATTTAATGCCTTAACAGCTTGCTTTGTTGTTTATAGTGAGAGTCGGTGACAAACTGCAGTGGCCTCTCTTCCCCTGCCTTTCCAGCGATGTGTCTAAATTAAATCCACACTGGGGATGAGATGGGCCACAGTGACTTAAGTTTTGGAAAATCTCTGTAAAATTCCTGCCGCACTCTGGCATCCACACTGCTATGCAGTTCTGAGTGGAGACAGCTCAGTGCTAGAGTTTTGTGTTGAGACCCACAAAATCCCTATTTCCCCCGCATGTCGAGTTAATTGTCTTTATTCTGAAAGACGTGCTTTCTCGCACCGCATACGTTTCGTCTGAATGTAAGCCCCGTAGCTTTCTGATTGGGACGGAATAAGTTGTAAACGTCTGTGGGCTAGGTGCGCCTGATTGCAAAATACCTCGTGTAGAAGTCCAGTTCAATCCTTTTTAATTCCTCTCCTTTTTCCGCTCCTTATTGTAGGTGCGTGAGCCTCTGGATGATATGTTGAAAGAGTGCGACCGTGTTCACCTCTCCTCTTCCATTCTCGAGCCGGAAATCAGAGCTCTCGAACCTCTGCCTGGGGTAAGTTAAAAGTTTGAGATATTTTCATTTGACCCACTTGTGAAAAACTAGGTGGCCTTGGTAGGATTCGAACCCACACCAGCTAGGG